TACGCATATTATGGCTATTTAGATAATGATCTTCTTAACTGGATGCCATTTGCATCCGTGACATGTCTTTGCTTTTCCGCATAGTCTGTGAGAATACGTTCACTGTTGAGACCATGCTCAGTTAATCGGTGGTCCTTAATTCAAGGCAGGTACGGTGAGTTAGGTAATTGTACAACGCCCTATCGTGCTTAAATTCATCAGGACGTTGTATACTAAACACTGTTTGGAAGATAATGGGTGGCTATATCTTCAACGTAATAATAATAACAACAACAATATATTCAATTTATAGATACAGATCTTTTACAGTAATTTTCTTTAACTTATAGATGATGGATTTTATTTACCGTCATTGATTATTTAATATAAAATAGTATATTCATGCGTATATGCACTCATGTACATATACAGAGTGTTCAAAAAGTACCAGACCCACTCCTCAGAATTTATCCATTATTGGGAAAAATGAGCGGAGATTAATTCTAAGATTCAGAATGTTTTGTTTCTCTGTAACTACAGAGTGGACCTTTGTGTTGAAGGTCATTCGAAGATCTAAATTGCATTTACCTTCAAAATAAATTTTAATTTAACCTTTTTCACTAGTAATTGTTTTCGAGAAAGACAAGATCTTTATCGATCCCATTATCTCCAGTATTCATTAATATTTTATTCATCAGAATTCAATAGTATCGTACTTAAATGATGTACTTTTAATGGTAACGAGCTTTGTACCATCACCCCCATACCTTATTTTCAAAACATCCCGTATATTCGTACATTTTTCTTTATCCTACGCATACAATACATGTTTGTAACTTCGAAAATATTGAAAATCATTCATATCAGCATAGAATCTTCCACGCATGTTAAAATAATGTTTTATTACATCATATTTCGTTACAATCTCTACAGCAAATTAATGCAAATGATTACTTCGTATAATTCGAATGCGCACACGCATGAGCGCAGCGATGTTTCGTAGGATAGGAGTCAAGCATATTTCGATACATACCGTGGATAGATTGCTGGTAGGTTTGTCATAACGGAATAATCCATAATCCTGACAATTCGAATAATTGGAGCAATGGTGACTAGATCGTTCGACAGGCTGAGAGTCCAGATTATACATACATAGGTTTATGTATATGCTTACCTACAGTGGCGATTATATAAATCGGGGATCAATTTTGTCAATATAAAACAGAGTACAGTAAAGTATCCCTAAATGGTAAGACTCGGGCCTGAACAAATGCATTTCTGATAGAGTTCGTAAATTCTTTGATGTTTTGCCGACAAGCTTCGAACGTAGAGAAGGACACCGAATAAAGAAGAGGAGGGCGCGTAAACATAAACTCTACATACAATGAACGAACTTGGGACTGACTGGTGCATTCATGGTAGAGTTCGTACAGTCTCTGATGTTTTGCCGACAAGCTTGGAATGTAGAGAAGGACAGCGAACAAAAGAAGAAGACGGATCGAAAACACCAGAGTATGTCGGTGAGACAATGTAATGCAACGGTGAAACTTTTTTATTATTAACTTTTTTGTTGCAAAACTTTTACCATCGCATTCGTGACTTTTTTATGATTAATATGAGACTAAACACGACGTAATTACTTGTAACAACTTATTATGTATCACATTTCGTAGAACACTAACTAAAAAAGGATGTCTGGTAAATATCATCCGAATTATATCGTGCTTGGTTTCATTGTAATCAGATAAATGTCAGGAATATGATGGTAAAAGTTTTACAACAAAAATGTTAATAATACAAAAGTTCCACCGTTGCATTCGCTCCGTCCTGTTCTTTATTCGCTGTCCTTCTCTCTGTTCGAAACTCGTCGGCAAACATCAGAGAATATACGATCATATAAACACTGCTCGGCAATCGAACTCTTTGACCCCTTAAGGGGTGGGGATGGTTTCAGGGCATTTATGGGAGAGAAATTTGTGCATTTGTGGAGACTTCACTGTATTCTGACATTCTCATAGAAAGTTCAGTTCTTCTCTTTCCACATGTTAATCCTTTGCACTCGAGAGGTGACTCTCGGTCACCACTAGATTTCACGCAGCAAATCTACCAGCAGTAATGTTTCTTTAGGTTTCATTTCTTTGGAACTCGAGGTGCCAATAAAACGACAATCGGGCTACATGTTCAAGGTTAATCTAAGCTTAGCATTCGTGGCAATAGAATACTAAGAAAGGATCTTGAGTTGCTGGTAGACACTAGAAAAATAGGCCTCGAGTGCAAAGGGTTAATAGTAAGTAAGTGTCGCAATAGTCTGAAAGCGTGTCACCATTTTACTTATGTCATTTTTAAAGAAAAGTAACCTTTTTTTTATGAAAGTATAACATTTTTGCAACTTTGTGCGCGTCTGGTGCCCTTTATGTTCCACGCAAACGCCCGACAATATTTTTTTGTTATTCACTAACATGCAATTAATTGCTACATCAAAAACCTGCCATTTCAAAATGACGTACAGTCAGTGTAAGAAGTATTCGTACAGCAACTAATTCAAAATAAAAACTAATAAGGAAAGAAATAAGAGGTTAACATTACAAGTGATAAACTTTAATTTACCCAAAATCTACTCTAAAAATATGTGGGAAAGTTGGTTAATTATTTCAGCACCTAAAATTTATTAATAAAATGAATGTGTGAAGTTTTATTTTGAATTGAGTCCTGTACGAGTACTTATTACACTGATTGTATTTACTTCATCTTTTGTTCAAAATACGCCTACATTGTTCTAACGACTGGCTGCCAGACGACGGATTTCATGGTTGTTAATTATATTATATTTTCGATAAAAAATGTGTAATATCCACGCCCCCAATACTCAAGAATAAGGAGTCAAACTAGAACACGAATTATAGGGTGTGAGATTGGTCGTGTAGGAAAAGCGGTCGACTGTGGATCCGAGGATCATGGGTTTGAATCTCTGTGCCTCATTTTTCGCAGAGACTCCTACAAATTGTTATTTTCATTTCAAGATGCCATAAATAAAATCGTCGCTGGTTCGTTTCGAATATAAAGACAACATTGGCAGATAAAATTTATAAAAGCACGGTAGCTTATTTACTAAAGTATTCGTACACCGTAACTGTACGTATTATTGTTATTGATTTAAGGTGAAAGGTCTGGTAATTTGCAAGGAAACTAGGGGAAATAGAGAAATGGTTGTAAATTACGATAACTCGAATTAATTACGATTAATGTAACTGCGTAGAAGTTGTTTCGATTGCGATATTCCTGTTCCAAAGGTTTCCTTCGTCTCATTAGTAACACATATTCAATATTTACGTAAGAGACAAGGTTGTCTATTTATACAGGGTGTACCATAACTAGTGGTACAAGCGAGTAGGGGTTGACTCTACGTGAAAAATTGAATCGAAAAGGTAGAATAAAATTGTTTCATAGATACTTTATTTTCGAAAAAAATAAATTTGAAAATTTGTCGAGTTTGCGAGTATTTGATGTAGCTTCAGTTGACGTATTTTATTTGTTACGTTACTGTTCCGAGTAGGAGAGTACTTCCGTGCTTCTTGCAATGTTTACAAACATTGTCAACATGATGATATCTCTTACATTGATTTTACTTTCTTCTTATGCTTATGATCTACAATGCAATCCGTCGAGCTGAAGCTGGTCCAAGTGTCCGGGTTTATTTTTTTCGAAAATAGAGTGTCACGTGACAAAATTTTATTCTACATTTTTTATTCAATTTTTTACGTAGGATCACCCTATACTCGCCTGTGCCACCAGTTACGGGATACCCTGTATAAACACTATCACACAAAATAGTTGAATGCGATGGTAGCGAAAGAAATTTGTTAGACAACCTAATAGTAAAGCGAATTAGTTGAACCTGTAGATATAGATTATATTTGAACGAAAAGAAAGGAACAACACGTGATCACTGATGAATGTTAGACAAAATATATTTATTAAGTATTTCATTAACCGCAACAAAACAGAAATATACACTTCGTCTGCGGATCCACCTCCACAGATCAATATTTTTAAAGGCGGAGGGTCAAGTAAATAACCTCTTTTTTGCGAATTATTTTTGAAGAGTGCGTTATATATATTTATTTACAACTAATTACTTGTTATTTTGTAGCATCTAGATAATCTATATAATTTTTTTTATTTAAAAATATTCATAAATGAATGAACAGCAGCTGTTTGAAGTTGGCTTCTCGAAAATGCGCCGTGCAATGCACAAATCACTCTAATTATTTGAAATAAAAAATCCACCAATTTTTCGTTAAAATATAGTAATCCGTGTTGCATCAACCTAGATTAAAAAAAAATATTTTTTAATTAAAAATGTTACGTCACGTTAAAAAAATCTTGTTATAAAAAAAGATGATTAGAAAGATTGTTTATTTCAATGTTTATAAAAACCTTTAGGTTGATGCAAAGGAGAATAGTTTAAGGAACATTTTGTGTCAAGTTTCATAGCAATCGGCTGAGAAATTTCTAAGGTACGTTGCACGGCACGCGAAATTTTGTGTTTTGCGAAAAATGCGTTTAAAGTTTCCGGATATAAAAGTAGTCCTTCGTGTACCGTTCGGAGCGCATCACTTTAATGACTTTGCAGGTACACTTAGACTTCGAAGTTTTAGCTGAAATAGTCGGAGCACATTCTCCAGATGGTAAACTAATTTTCTAAAACAAAAAAAAAAGGTCAAAATTTTGAATTTTACTTGACTCTGCCCCCTTAAACAAAAATAAGAACATAATCTTTTACTACTTATCATCACGCATGATGTACATATCCCGGAACTAACTTTGGCGACATCTTTATTAGATAACGAAATTAGGCAAAGAGGCGCGCCGCGTTTAAATCTTGTGTGATGTTGCAAGAAACGAATGCAACCCTATAGAACGAAACATAAATTCCGCAATACTTTCGTATTCTTGATTTCCATAAATTGTTATCGCAGCAGTGAAAAATTAATTTCCATTTCGTTTTGTATATTTTATAGATTTGTGGTTCGTGGTTCGTGTGGTCGAGCGAGAAGATTCAAAGGGGGCGAGTGTGTCGATCATAGTGGAGGAATCAGGGGACAATGATGCCCCCCATAATAGGGGAAACACTGCGCGTATGGTTTCTCTCGGCATTGGTGGTTCACGGCGCTGTCGCCGGCAATCCGGATGCAAAACGCCTTTACGACGACCTGTTATCTAACTACAACAAACTAGTACGCCCTGTTGTGAATACATCGGACGTACTACGCGTGTGCATTAAACTCAAGCTCTCGCAGCTCATCGATGTGGTGAGTAGAACTATGCTCTCTTCAATTCACCCTTTGCACTAAGATGTCTCTTCCGACGGGACATTGGAAATCCAGACAAACTTAATTAGCGATTAAACAGGATAAACTTAGGGGAGCGTAAAATTTGTAAAAGTGCATGATTCCTTGAAGGTTCCTATTCGAATAACATAGGAAATCAAATAAAAATATGGTACATGTATCAAGATATACAGTCAGTGTAAGAAGTGTTCGTACATAAAAATATGTAGGAATGTTGGTTAATTATTTCTTCCTCTAAAATTTATTGATAAAATAAATATACGAAGCTTTATTTTGAATTGGTTCCTGTATGAATACTTATTACACTGGCTTATGTATATATATGTATGTATAAGGACAAGTGCTCTTTGTCGCTTTCTTAAGGTGTACACTATCCACACATTCTTTTTTCATGTAATACAAGCTCATATTTGTTATATACAATATAGGGTGTTAATACATATATGTGTATATATAATAATAATTATATGTATATATTGACATAATGACTATCACACACACACGCACGCACACACACACACACACACACACACACACACACACACACACACACACCATATATGTATATCATATTTGTTATATATATATATATATGGTGTTTCATTATAACTTTCCACGCGATTCTTTCCCAAAGTATTCATCCTTTGAAAAAAATGTTTAAACGAAACATGCTCTATCTAAAGGGGGACATTCAATGCTGTACACTGTTTTTTTCTTAGTAGAGGTGCTTCCGAGATTTGAAAGTGTCCTTTGTTTTTTTAAATGGAAATGAATTTTTTTTTCACGCTAGACAGATAGTTTACCTCAAGACGAATCCATTGATGTACATTATGTTGACCCTGAAATGTCATTCAAGGTCATTTCAATGGCTTGAAGTTTTCTTCTTCACTGCGCGCCCAGAAAATGTTTCTTATCTTCTATATTTGAAAGTACGACCTTAAATGACAGTTCAACTTGCTCTAAAGTTTCCTTAGCAATTTGCTTGCAAGCATTTATTATTCGAGCCTTCATATTTTCGGCTGTTGTTGGCTGTTCCACATAAACTTTTCTTTGTCTTTCCTACATTCGGATCGAGAAGTGACGTCCCGTCTTAATGTCGTGGCGATGCGAATTCTAGACACCTCAACATTAACTAGTTTTAATTAACTTAAACGCAAATCATTAAAAGGTAAACCCACGGGGATCTAGGACTCGGTCCCTCACGGATATCATTAACCGCATGGTAAATGAACCAAATATCCTAGCATCTGTTCCGTAACTCCCAGTGGATGGTACGCTTCGTTCGGCAAATCAAATTAAATCATGCCGGAGCTCAATTAACTACTGGTTGGAGTATCACTTGCACCTGCATCAAAATATGCGAAAATTCGAACTCGACGAATTCTAGTGTCAACTTCCGGATATGACAAGTTCGCGTAATTAGTGAAATTACAGTTGACAGATGCGCAGATAAATGAGTACACCGTGAATCACGAGACTCATGGAAATCACAAGAATGGATTCGGACGAAAGAAATCCCAAATAGCTCTGAATGTAGACATGAATTTTGACATTATTACAACCTTTTTAAATATTTACGATAAATGAATTATACAGGATGCAGCAGAAAATTTGACCTCTAAGTTGTATTCGTTCTAGCACTTCAAGTTTGGAATTTTTTCACATTTCTGTTCGATTCTCCATTAAAAAAGGTACGTAAATGTAATTTTTTTTTTAGAATTTCCCAACTTGTTTAACGCCGGATTGCACTTGAGTCTCTAATCGGGCGGCGTGCACCACCAGTGGCTCGCGCTTGCGTGTCTATCAGATGACGTGTACCACCGCGCCGCCCCGTGGTGAGAAACAGAAATAGCAGCGCCAGGCTTTCGGCGATCAAAAATCTATAATTTTGGTTCTCTTGGAAATACTTTAATGAAATTTTGGGAAGTTATTCCCTATATTATGATACTTAAGTTGTGTTAATATAAATCAATTTGAGCTACAGGATGTCCAAAATCAAAATCCGACTCAAAACTGTTAAAAACTGTGAGAGAAATGTATTTAATAACTTAAAAATGACAGGATGTACGTAGTAATAATAGAAGTAAGCTAACAACACTTTAACATAAAAACATGTAGCATATATAAAGTTAACATTTTATTCAAGAGTACTTTGTTTGACATATTACTTCTTTTAGAACTAAAATTTTATTCAAGACTGTTATCAACTGTGAACAAAAATATTTTTGTTATTCATTAATGGTGATACACAGGATATAAAAATCGGAATAGGTTACTAATAGTTTAAAATAAAAACACAGTATGATTCACCCTTCCCTGTGATTGTAATTAAATCTTGGACAAGTGCGGTCAATTTTTTATAACCTTGGACAAAGTTAAAATTTTAGTTAAATGTACTTCTCTCCAATCAGATCCTATTATTTAAAAAGTTGTTAACATTTTTACTTACTTTATGCACGGAATACAATCTATACTAATCTAGTAAACATTATAATTCATTTAAATATCGTCTTTCTGACAATGAGCAAAGTTTTGTAAATCGTACATTGAAGTTAGGAGTAATATCATAAGCGTTTTGCTTGGAGGAATTTCAACTGACTTTGAATGCGCACTACAGAAAAACGGAAGCAAATATAAAACAACGAATTACAATTAAAATAAAATACAGTTAAAATAATGAAATGAAATACCACGATATCAATGCAACATTCGTTTTCGATTGTTATCTTTATTATATCCAGCAAATTGTACATCAATAATGCAAACAACACTGGCATTTGTGCAAAAATGTATTATAGTAAGCACGTGTATTGCGATAAATCCTTTCGCGTGATTCACGTCCATATTCACGCGACTATCCGTGTCACGCGTATTTTGTGGCCAGCGTGAAATACACGTGAATCGCGTGAACACTTATACGCGTGATTAGGGTGGTTTACAATAAAGTAGTAATAATTACTATTTGAATTTACGACTACACAAGATCCCTTTCAGTGACTATACACTTCTGCTCAACTTTACTCGACGGACCAGTGCCGTAACGAGGATATGAAGCGCCCGTGACGCCCGTAATGACAAAAAAAATTAATTTAACGTAACACGTTAAATTTTACTAAATCCAATATATTAAATACTATGAACTTCATAAAAATGAGTTGCCTATATACAGGGTGTCCCAAAAATGTTGTAACACCTTGAAAGGGGTGGTTCGGGAGGTGATTTGAAACAACTTTTTCCTTAGTGAAAATGTTGTCCGAAGCTTCGTTGAGGAGATAGTAAAGGAAAATACTGACCAATCAGAGCGCGCGTATACCGGTTTTCGCTAAGGAAAAAGTTGTTTCAAATCACCTCCCGAACCACCCATTTCAACGTGTTACAACATTTTTGGAACACCCTGTATACACAAAAACGTATTTGTCAAGGTATTTGTTTGAATAAATCTACAACTTGAATAAGAACAAGTTTTTATTAATATTCAGTGACGAAAAAATAAAAGAGATATAAAACGTAGGTATACGTTAAAATAATATAATAAAAACATAAAACAGTTTGCATATTTGACATTACCGAGCAAGAGTAACAAGTAGTATCTTATATTTCGAGTAATATTTATAACGCAACAATAATATGTACGTGTATGTGTCTAATTGGTCAGGGGACGAAAAACGGCCAGTGACCAATTAGACAATCAGTGGTGCTGATTGATGTAGAATAGAATTGTCAAGTAAAGTCAAAATCACGTGCAACTCTCGATTGAGTCGGTACCCTCTGTTTTGCGCCCCAAACCCAGTTGCGCCCGTGCCGGGCACCTATTTCGCTACGCTCTTGTTACGGCACTGCGCGCGACTGTCAAGAGTTAAAAGTATTACGAACTGTCTATCGATAATACGGTGAATCTACAGAAGAAGAATCTCCAGTTCGTGATAGTCGCACAACATTATCGACGGTTGTCATTATCAATAGCTTATTAATTGGAACGGGAATAGAATAGTTGAGCTGCCGATATTTTGGTCCTCGGGTCTATAAATTTAGTGCGGTTTGGCCTGAATAACAGTGACCGTCCATGTATTCGAGTTATTTAGTACGTGGGTGGGGTACAATATTTGACGCTACCAAAAGGCCGTATAAATATCACGGTTGGCCGATCCGCTATTAAAATTTAAATCGTTCAAGTGTTTCCTACTGACCTCGTGAATCATCCGAACTGCAATTGCTATTGTAAAATTCTAATTTACACACAAATTACTGCATACATCATAAATTGTTTCGATTTCCTGATATTGTACCTTTTTAATCTTATTATGACATAAACATTATAAACAGACAAAATATGTTCTTTACTGGTTAGAAGTCTGTGTGAAGCTGGCAGCTCGCTTTGTGGAAGCTCATAATTCAGAGTTTTTAATTAATCTTTAATAGTTCTATACTTACTGATCAATTAAATTAGTTATATCGATTGGAACTGTTGGGTCATTTGTTAAACAATTTTAAACGCAAGAATCTATAGTATGACCACTTACGGGGTGGTCTGTTCGATCGCGATGATTTTTTCAGAAATGGAGCTCCGTATAAAAAAATTGGGTATTTGCATTCGTATTTTTAAAATTGAATTTTACTATATTGTGTGTGAGACCAACCTATAGTAATTATACATGAAGCACTGCAGAAAAATTTCTTCCTCAAATTACATATACTTTATTATATGAAACCCTTGAACATAAAAATATACATTTTCTTTAGTATACATATGTATACGCATGTACGTTAATCAGATATCGGAAAACAAAATCTACTCTTATACATATACATTAAATATATTTTTTTTGTTCTTATCTATATACAGTATGTTAAACACTATACGAGAAATTGCGTTGTTTCTTCACTTGTGTTGATACGTGTACACAAACTTTCGTTACATTCGCTATCGTTTTATTTAGTAGTACACGTATGCAATAGTATTT